TTTTTTTTTTTTTTTACATATCACGCTAAGAGGGTCTATATGTTTAGAATGTGGTATACCGATAGTTCTCATCTCTGCAAATGTGAGTAGAGATTCACCAGGAAGTTGAGGACAAGTTGGGCAGCCACCTTTCTGGAAGATCAGTGGCTCTCAACTTTTTTTTTTTTCTCTTTAATGTTTCAAGTTTTTATTTAAATTCTAGTTAGGTAACACAGTGTAATACTAGTTTCAGGAGTAGAATTTAAGTGGCCGTCAACTTCAGTGCACATCTGAGTCACCTGGAGTTCTTGCTAGAACACAGATGGCTGGACCCCCCAATCCCAGAGTTTCAGATCTGAGGTAAGGCCTGAGAATGTGCATATTTAACAAGTACACAGGTGGTGCTGATGCTGCCTTGGAAACCACAGCAGATCACTGGTTCTCAAACTTGACTTGCACATTTGGAACCACTAGAGACATTAAAAATACTGATGCCTGGGTCCTACCCCCAGAGACTGATTTAACTGGTATGGAGTATGGCCTGGGCAAGAACATTTTTTAAAGTTCCTGACGTGATTCTAATATGCAGCAAGAGTTGAGAATTATTGCTCTAGATTTTATCACCCAAGTGGAAAACACCAGTACCTAAATTTAAAATTTTACAGCCAAGCAGACAGTAATGAATGCATTCTTGCCTTTCCCCAATCTGGCGGTTCCCAAACTTGTCTGCATATTAGAATCATCCAGGGGTCTTTTGAAAGTTTAAAAGCCCAGACCATACTCTAGAAAATGAAATCATAGTCCATAGAGGTAGGAAAGAGGTGTCAGTACTTTTTGAAGCTCCCTACGTGATTCCTGTGAGCAAGCAACTTTGGGAACCACTGTCCTAATTGCAAAATCAAACATAATCAGAGAGGATGCCTCTTTCAGGCTCCCCTCAGCAATGTAAGGGCTACTTTTAGCAGGAAATGCTCTACTTTGCTGCCTACAACATCCTCCTGCTGAAGCAACTTAGCTTTTGACCACCGTTAGGAACCACAGTGGCTCATGTGGGATTCAGCTGATTGACAGCACCATTCCCTAACATCAGTGTTTTTGACCCTGGCTGCATAGTAGAATCACCTGAGAAGGTTTTGGGCCCTCACTGCAGAAATCCTGATTTAATTGGCCTGCGTTAAGGTCCAGGCGCTGGTGTATTTTAAAAGCATCCCAGGTGATTTAAAAATTTTTTTCTTTAATGTTTTTATTTTTGAGACAGAGAGAGACAGAGCATGAGCAGGGGAGGGGCAGAGAGAGAGGGAGACACAGAATCTGAAGCAGGCTGCAGGCTCTGAGCTGTCAGCAAAGAGCCCGATGCAGGGCTCGAACTCATGGACTGTGAGATCATGACCTGAGCCGAAGTCGGACACTCAACTGACTGAGCCACCCAGGCACCCCCATCCCAGGTGATTTTAATGTGCAGCCAGGGTTAAGGATCACTGCCTATTCACTCTTTGTGCTTATCCCTGTTTTCCAAAAACCCTAACCTTCTCAGCCCTCCATTATTTCATTCTTTTTTTCCCTACTGCTTCCAGCCTTTTTCCATCTCAACTTCTCCCTAAGTCTAGCCTCTTTCCTCCCTGGAAATCTCTGGTTTCTTTTTGTTCCTCCTCCTCTTTTGGGGTGGGGAAAGATGAGTAATACTTAACTTCCCTTTATAGCTACTTTTTTTCTTGCCTTCTACATAGCTAGTTACTATTACAACAACACAAGGAAATAATGTTTGATGCATAAAATAATTCCTTGGTTAAGCCACCTGTCTTTCAGCCTTTCAGTTCACCAGGGAATAAGGCATGTGGTGAGTCAGGTATAGAAGCAGTAATATCCACTTTCTACTCTTGGCCTTGGCGGTATGCCTTCACTGATTGCTCTTCCAAAGCTATCCCTACAAATTTATTTATTTATTTTTATTATTTTTTAAAAAATGAAATTTATTGTCAAATGGGTTTCC